GTTAGCAGCACCAAAAAATAAGACATATCCTCATAAATACTTTTGATATAATGGACATAACATAGCTTATGGAATATTCATGCCCAAAATATATATTCTCAATCATATGAGACATCTTTAACCCAAAATGAAAGCTATTCTATAAAATAACTGATCAGTGTTCATTAAAAGTGTCAAAGTCATGAAGGCCGAGAAAACTTAGGTCCTGTCACAATTGGTGGTTGTTATGGTTTGAGTAGTTTGAGTGTATCTTTTGAAAAGTGATACAATGAAATTTAGTTTTATTTATTTTATTTTATTAAGATTTTTGATATAGGGTACATGTACTCTCTAGAGAAGCAGAGAGACAGAAAGTGAGAAATTATCCCCTAAGGAGGATGGTCATGTCACAATCCCTTCTCCATTCTCCTCTTGGGATTTTGAGCATGGATGCACACACACTTGGCATGAGTTTTAAGTCATCAGGTCTGAGACTTGTACTATGATTGACTATGTGGGAGTCCAGCGCCTTAGTAGTGGTTATATTGTTGGACTCCCAACATGGCCAACTGTGGTTTGAGTCCCAGACTTGGTGGCTTGAAATTCACATGTACATGCATACGTGCCCGAAATCCCAGGAAGAGAATGGAGGACAAGGGACTGTGGTGTGGCCATCACTCCTGAGTCTGGGTGGTGATTTCTCACTTTCTCTTTGTCTATTTCTCTCTGGCAAAAGCACATGCCCTATGGCCAAAAAAAAAAAAAAAAAAAAGGAAAAAAAAAAAGAAGGAAAAAAGAAAGAAAAAGGAAAGAAGGAAGGAAGGAAGGAAATAAATAAATTTGGTTGTGGAGATATTAAGAGTTTAGACACTTAATGTAACTATAGTTTTAAAAGGTAGAGCTTTTGGGAGGTGAGTGAGATCAATTAAGGTCATCAGGGTGGGGCCCCATGATTGAATTCTGGGCTTTATTAATGGAAGGAAAACATGGACAGAAATACAGGCACGCTAGCCCTTGTTATCCTGCTGTGCTATGCCTGAGCTGCTTTGGGACTCTGCAAAAAGCCCCAACAAAAATACTCTCATCAAATGTGGCCTTTTGACCTTAGATCTCCAAGATTGTGAGTTAAGTAAACCTAGTTTGTGGTATTACGCTTTTAGGCAACAGAGAACAACTCAAAACAGTGACATTATTTTTAGAATAACAATGATCAAGTGAATTTTTTCCCCCTGTGTTCTCCTAGATTGATACCTGCTCTACCTCAATTTTCATTTAGCTCCATATTTGTTATGACTGAACTATAAATCCAAAGTATTTCTTTGTAACGAAAAATACATCTATCGCTAAGGTGTGGTTTTTGATACTGTAATTATTTTATTTCATTATCAAAGCAAGCTGCAGTGATCAAGGAAGAGATTTACATGCTAAGGTGTTCTTGATAGACTTTACTTTGAGATAAAGAGGATAAAGTAGCTAAAATTTATAAATCATTTTTTTTTGGTAAGTACATGATGTGCATGTCAAAAAGTTCTCCTCAACATTTCTTATGCTGTCAGCCTTAATAAACCCTGTTTATACAGATCAAAATAAAAAAATCCTTAAAAAAACACAGTGATTCTTGCAACTGAAAATTAATTAAACTTGAAATAACTATAGACATATATATTATTTCTTAAGGACAGAACATTTCTTTGAGTTAGGCAGTTCTAATAAATCTTGAAGGCATCTGAAGTGATCTGAACTAAAAATAAACTGTAATTTGCTTGTTTTTTCCTTTGGTAATAAATGTGTAGTTCTTTGTTGCATATTTTTTTTCTTCTGCTGTGTTTCCTTGGTACCAAAACTTCAGAAAGATAATTTAGGTCACTCAGCAGGACTCAAATCCAGTTCTTGAAAAGAAAAAAAATTACCTCTATCCTTACCTTGGATTTTCCTCAAGCTACTTTACCTTATTTATATTTACTTCATAGCCTTGCTTTTTACTTTTTTTTTTTTTTTTTGCCAGATGACAGAGGTGCTCACCAGAGAGAGAGAAAGAGTGAAAGAGACAGAAAAAGAGAGAGAGAAAGCACTATAAAATACGATATGGTGGCACAACAATCCCTTTCTCCGTCCCATCAGGACTTGGGACATAATGCCCAAAAACGTGCTTTTCAAGCTGCTAGGGCTTGGATATGAACTTTTGTCAGCCATGTGGGATCCAGCCAGCTCTGCACAGTGCTTAACCAAAGGGCTACTGGCCTGCCCACAGTCTTGCTATTCTTTTTTTTTTTTTTTCAATTTATTTATTTGCATTCATTCACTGTACATCATTATAGCATACAAAATGAGATTTTCCATCCAGAGTACACTGTATATTGTCTCAATCAAGCTCATCAACAAACATGTTATTGTCAGCAAATAATCTTCCATTTCTTGTTTTCTGTATGTTTTGCTTTTTATCCCCCCATCCTTGATTCCCTATCTCTTATCCTCTGCCGTCTCCCACTCTTCTCCCTCACTGTCTCTGGTATATATGTTTGCTTTCTATACTGTTTCCCCCCACATTTTATTGAATCACCAAAGACCCTAATCAATCCAAATATCCTCATAGCAAACACAGGTGACACACAAATTTCCATTAACACAAGTCTAACTTTACACATCCTATAAAGTAGCACCTAGCTGGGGCTACATATTTTACTGCAGTCATTGAATATATATATTTTTTTTTCCTGAAACTTTTTTTTTATAACTCAATTTACATTCCTTCCCTAAGCATCATCACAGCATTGTCCTCCATTCGCTTCCCACCCACAATGCATTGATCACACAATTTCCTACATAATCTAACTACTTTCAATGGTGAGTTCACTCATTACTACTAAGAAAACCAGTTTTAACTTAAATCAAAGAAACGTCAAGGAACTTTGCTTAAAGCCAGGAAACAGGTTGAAATTCTGATCAAATGGTAGGTGCATGAACCTATCAGTCTCATGTACTTTTATCTTCTGTTCTGGTTCAATTTTCCTGATTAAATTCTGGCATATAATATTCAACTCCAGACTTGTCCCTATGATTAAGTTGGCCA